ACAGTGGCTTGCTAGAAAACTTACATAGCGAAAGACAACGTTTTATTAATTGCAAAACATTTTTGTAGATTGTCAATCGAAAGTGTGATAAGAAAGTTGTTGAAGTTTTTGATGATTTATCAAATGACTCCTACTAATGCTAAATGTGATTTTGTATGCAAGAAAATTTAGAACGAATTACAAATTTACTGTAAAATATATGCATTTCATTGAAATATCTTTTCTTTTTTTGCTATATCACTAAAGCTGTCAGCTGTAATAATGAATAAAAATTTAAACTTTAATTTATTCGACAATTTTAATAATTAAAAACAAAAAACAAAAACATTTAAACTCTTTTTATCTTTGTTTTTTTTTTTTTTAATTATTAAAATTATCAAGCAATCGAAACAATCATTCAACAAGAACAATTACAATTAACATATACATTTATCAATTAAAGTAGCGGAGAAAAAAAAAAAAGAAAATGAGATAAAGTTAAGCTATTTATCATTCTAATCATATAAGCATGAAAATGATACTAAATCATTGTTATCATAAGATTTTATGTGATGATAAATCACTGTTATCATAAGATTTTATGTGATAATAAATCACTGTTATCATAAGATTTTATGAATTTTTTGGAATCAAACATCCTAATATTTGCTAAATGTTTGGTAATCATCATTATAAGAATTAATGAATTCAATGAATTAAATTGAATATTTCAGTTGCTAAAAATTTTGTGTTCAATATTAGAGTGATGCTTATTCGGTCAAATATAAAAGTTTCATTCCGAAATGTTTCAGTAATTCCTGAAGGATAGATAGGATGAGGATGATAATTCATTTTTTTTTTTCAGTGTTTAATAAGAAACGTTATATGCTTTAGTAATATATTTGTGCTAAATGAAACCGGAAATTGCTGAAAATTGGTGGTAGAGCCATATGATGATTTATAGGTATCAACAAAGAGGATAACTGGAGCGTGACAGGTCATTTGCATGGTCGTCGGTCAAATTGATTTATTATTAAATTATTATCTATGGTAACAAAAGGCACAATTATATTACCCATTAGGAAATAATAATTTACAATTAACTTCAAGACATTATCACTCAAAAATATCAGTTATAATTGCTTCAAATATATTGTTATTCAATTGAGCATCTTATATGAACAGGTAAATTTCATGATCTATTATTATGATTTTTTTGAGAAAAAAAAAAGTTCTAACATTACTATGATTATTATGATTATCATGATTTTGAGAAAAAAAATTATTATGATTTTATTATTATAAAAAGTTATAGCATTAGAATAATATTCAAGTGAATTTATCCTTCGAATGGAATTCCCGGGAATACTTTTAAAAATATTAGCATTAAGCAAACCCATTTAAATTATCCATTATTAGGATTGAAATCGTTGAAAATTTGAAATTCATCTCACTCTGTGAGGATTTCTGCTCATACGTATAATGTCAGATAATTTTAGAAATCTGAAATTTCTTTTCTAATATATATTATAAGATATTTCTAGCCTGGCATTTTATCAAATTCATCACATTTGGACTATTTTTGCTGATAGAAAAACAATTTAATGTGATAATTTTTCTTTCCAGTCTTACGCAATATATGAAAGATTCATTTGAGTTACAAATAGCAATACTAATAAAATTGTCACATCATAGATAGTAGAATTCAATAAACGATTGGATTAGATGGTTTGATTGTTGTTCACTTACTGTTTGTTTATTGATTTTTGTTGATTTGTTGAATTTTATTGATTCGTTTATAGGTGTTGTCCAATTTGTTGATGTTTTATCTATTTGTTGATTTGATTGTTTTTTTGATAATAGTTTATTCGTCTTCTTGCAATTCATTGGCTAGGTTATGTATTGTTTAGAATGACAATACATAGATTTTATCAGTGAACTTCCTATTTAGCCATGAAGTGGAGTAACCGTGAGAGATAAGGCTAATAAAATTAAATGACCCACCTGTTATGTTGCCCTATAGCAGATGAATCATATAAATAACTGCAAAAGCACACCCATACTCTTGGAACGAAAGCTGAATTACGGTGTTTGGTAATATTCCATGGCGGAATGCCAAAACAGGTGTGTTTTTTTTCGCGTAATTTGGGTTACTTGGCCCGTGGGGATGTTCAGTCTGGTGGGTCTTGTGATAGTTTGGAAGTTGAGCTTACCGACTGGGACCGTCTCGTTTTGAACTGCTCGCTATTATTTAGTTGGAACCTTTTCGTTTCGAGCTGCTCGCTATTGTTTAGCAGGACTCGTGATGGTTTGGACCGAATTCCTGACCATGGTCAGTTCCATCGGATCAAACCCTATTACGGTGACAGAGGTGGATGTTGATAAAAGTGTTTATGATACGGTTTTCCTGTGAATTTCATATCAACCCGGACTTCCTTTTACTGTACGAACAATACGAGAAAGATTTTTCGGCAGGATAACTGGAATACTTTTTCGAAACTGATAATCCACAGTTTCATCAGCTGATTAAGAATCGATGATTAAACGTGGTTTAGTTTACGTAGCATATGTGCGAGTTTCTGGTTAAAACGACTAACTAGATTCTTAAATTCCTGGCATTCCCAATATTTACGTAAGCGTTCTATCAACGTCTTCTCCATATTGTGTTTTTGTTATAATTTAGCATGGTTGAATTTCTTTTTAGGTGTGTAGGTGGTGTGTGACGCGTGCATTGTGGTGTGAGAGTAAGTCGGAGGCGGTTGAAGAGACGAGGTAGGAGTGTATTCTGGAGCTATGAGTAACAACGATTCAGATAGGTGCTACAAATGCAACGAAAAAGGACATTTTGCCAGGAATTGCCCTACCCAAATTCAGGAGGCCGGCCGACGAGGAGGTGGGGGAGGTTTGCTTTTTTTTTCTTGATGTTTTTTGTGTGTGAAGTAGCTTCGGATAGGTAGTTCTACCTTTTAAACGGCCAAAATTATCTGAATTTCTTACTTGAGGATTTTTCAAGTAGAACAGTATTGCCATGCGAAGTGATGCACCATTCTTGGCTGTAATATGATTGCATGGTAATGACTTTCTCCCTTCTGTGAGAGAAAGTTAGGGTGTAAATTTGAAGTCATCGCTCTTAATTTTTCCTGTGTTGCTGGTATTTCTGCAGGCGAAATGGAAGCCTATTTTAAGCTGCAACTAAAGAAATTAAGAAAAAAAAGTTTGTCGGTTTTTCTGGCATAGCTGTTTTCACTATTATTAACATACATCTGATGATTGAAACTTTTGATTTTCGGCAGTTTTATTCTCAGATTGTTTTAATTGCGGGCAGTCGGGACATTTTGCTCGAGAATGCCCGAACCAGCGTGGCGGTGGGCGCTATTATGGCGGACGCGGTGGTGGACGTTCTGGTCAGAGTGAGTGCTACCAGTGTGGTGGTAAATATTTTTGACGATTTTTAATTAATTTTTATGCAATTTTTCAGTTGACTGGAGCACTTACTGTTGGGAACGTTCTTTTATTCAGTGTCGAGTGTTTCATGATAAGAGTTGGATACATGCTGAATATACTTCATATATGACCTACGTTATCAGATCTGATTTCGTATTTTTAGGTTTTGGGCATTTTGCTCGAGAATGTCCAACGGAACGTCGTATTGGTGGCGGTGGGAATCAAAAATGTTATAACTGTGGCAGATTTGGTCACATTTCACGTGATTGCCCGGATTCTGGTTCAGATCAATCGAAACGATGTTATAATTGTCAGCAGATAGGGCATATCAGTCGTGAATGCCCGCGCAGTGACCGCAGTGATTAAGAAACGCATTGGAGAGGCGATGCCATACACTTCCTGATCAGGGGAGGGGGTTAATCTTACGGTAAAGGAAGTTTTTTAATATGTCAGATTTATGGCAGTGTGTTCTGGCGCTGCTTTGTTGCACTTTTTTTGTTTTTGTTTTTGAACGATTTGTTGTATGTTTCTTGTTTCAGTTACAGGTTTCCTCTTCCCTTTTATGATGTTCGAAATATTTCAGAAATCTTTTTTTTTAATGGAAACGTCACATCTAAGCATAAGTTCCTTTTCTGCTTCTTACATCCGTCAGTAACATGATCAGCAATAGATTGGCTTCATTCTCCTCATTGTTATTTTCTGTACAAAAATTATATCCTAAAGGATTCCCTTCCCTTGTCTTACATTCATTCACATATACACACATATAAACACCTTTGCTGTTTTACAGACAGAAGAAAAAAATGAAGGAGGGGATAGTCATCAGGTCTTTGAATATTTATGAGAGAGGAACGATCTTTAACGCCTTCAAAAATCTCTGTAAAAGTCACTCAATTCTCGCTATCTCGGTGTTGTGAACTGCGTTTTTTTTGCGAATTTTTTTTCTTCTGAATTTTAATTAGGTGATCTTTTCCTGTGTGACTGGCGGTGAAAGTACATTTCTGAACAGCACTGTGTTCGAGAGTTTGTCTGGTTGGCGTTTTTCGTTGTTTTGTATGCATGGTATCTCCAGCTAACTTATTTAACGGTGGTATACATTTTTAGTAGAGAATCTCTTCTGTTTCGGTTATTTTTCAAATCTTCCTTTCACATTCTTGTTCCAAATGAATTGCCTCAAAAGAACTTTTGGTATTTGTGTGTAACAGTGTTTTCTGTTTCTATTTTCTTGCAATTAGGCCCTGTTTGCGCTGTGTATCTTGTACTGGAAGTAATAAAGGGTGTGTTGCTTATTAAAATTTCAGTGTAACAATTCTAAAAAATAAATTTGTGATGGGCTCAAGGTTAGGCATAGGAAGTGAACGTGGCAGATGTGAAATTTTAAACGCAAAACGTCACAAGCTACATTCAATAGAAATACAAGTCACTTAACGTCAACTATTTAGCTGTATGAAGTGTTTGATCATAGGAGGTAGATAACTGGAAAAAAATGAACTGCGGGAAGTAGTCTGTGGTATGGTAGATCTAGTGTGAAAAGTGGTTGGAACAACTTTTAATGCTTTTGCCAGGCGTCGAGAATATTTTGGGGAATGACGAATAGCAAATGAGAGGTATGAAGTTATCGCCGGTTGCCAAACCGTTGCATATAATTTTCCCATTGTTTCCGATTCAAAACATACAACCGCATTGCGACGCGTGCGTCAATGATCTGAAATTCACAAGATTCAAAACTTTCGATGAAACCTTCGACAGCGTCATAAGAGGAGACCGGGCATTCGCCAGTTGTTTATCTCACCATGAAATTTAAATAATACTTTTCTATGAATTTATTCGAAAACTTCATATTTAGCATGTGTTTGCAATTTTTGGGATAGTAAAAAAAGTACTGACTGAATCATGCTCCCCGCTCTGAATATTGATACCTAACAGCTGTTTTGCCAGTAATTTCAATGATGGAGTTTTTGATACATTCAAAATTTTACGGAACGGCAAATACGTAGCGGTATCTCGCGTCATCCTGCGCGTATGAGAAAGATTTAGAACCTGAAAATGACAAACAAAAAGTAGACAAGTTGATTTCAAAAAACCAATATAAATAATGCTGTTTTAATATTAAACTGACAATTGTAATCTTACTTTGAAATCATTCTTAAGAGAATGTCCAACAACAATTCGACCGCTGAGCAATTTATGCACCTCTGATTGAACTTTTTGGAATGATTCTCCTATAACACCCCATTTTAATAAACAGCATAACACGCATGTAATGAAATAAAGAATTTAAACTGAACACTTTCCCAACTCTCACTACTCTTCGCATTTTTCCCTTCGTAGAAAAAAAGAATCTCGCAAATGTAAATTTTTGCTCTCATTTGAATAGGAATTCAACAATATGAAAAGATATAAAGACGAGTAGTTTGATCTGATAATATTGTCATTATCATTTCAACAAGTCATGATAAGCAACTAAAATTCTCAATAATCTCGCTGGCTAGATAGAGTACCGATTGCCAAATAACTTACCATTTACTAAATTAATAGGCCTGATGCCGCTCACTGCCGTACGATAATCGACTATATTTTCTCTTGGTAACACATACTTATCGTACACACATTGCCCCTCCATATTAACGATTGAAATTCTTGCAAGCATATTATCCTTCCCATCCATGCCAACACCAACATATTCACAGTCTATTCCAAGCGCATTCGTCAACTCGCCTTCCCTACAAAACAGGTCATTTCTGGAAAGTCATCAAAATTATCATTTCAGAAACTTAGTTTTAACTCTATTTGTGCAAATCATTCAAATCACTCCCTAACTATTGGTTCAAATACTATTTACTAATTCGTTTAACAAACAGTCATTATTTGGACGGATTTAGAAAACATTGAGACAAGCAAATTACCATATTTGTTAATCATAAAAGGAGAAAAATAACTTCCGACCAATTTTCTCAGCCTATTTCTTGTATTTAACATACAAAGCAAGCAGAAAAAGGTCAAATAAATATCCAATAATCAAATTTATGGCATGATTTAGAAGGTATACACAAAAAAGGCATCAAAAAGAATAATTTACTTACTGTTGTTGCCGATTTTCTGTAACATCTAAAGGTGAACTATCCGAACCAACACCTCCACTTTCCTTGTTAAATCGCTGCCGTTTCGCTTTCTTCCTAGCTAATCGAGCCATTCTTTTACGCTTACAACTGATATTTTTATTTTCATTAACTTTATCCATCGACGTTGCCTTCTCCTGCTTCAATTCCTGTAAGCAAGCCATAATAAACTAAGTTGTAGTGGCTAGGAAATGTCATATGGGCAGCTAAGCAACATAAAGTTAGCCCAAGAACAATACCAGTAACTTATGCAAGCAGTGCGTACGGAACACAATTTTCTTAAATTATGCAATTCAAGTGATCAGTAAAAGGTGGGTAATTTAGCCTAAGTGAGCTGCAAAGGGCAAGAGAGCATCAAATAAAATATAACTTAAAACTGAAAAAAGTAACTTGTTTTTGAATGACGTTAGCGAACTTTTAGTTCAGCTTTTCAAAAGGATAAAAATCATCAGTGTAGAGATAACTTAATTTTCTCCACTTGCCATCCTCCCTGTTAGCGTAGAAAGGAAATTCTACAATCCAGTATTGGATAACAAATTTTACAATCAAAAAAACCGCATCCAAAAAATACCTCTTGCAGCTGTTTCCAGTTTGTGGACAGCGCCGTCATCTTGAAGTATAACAGACCACAAAATTATATTTGTTCAAAGTTTCCAAAAATTTACATCCGTATCTTTCTGGAAAAAAACACTTCAAATTGACAATATTTAATGACCAAAAGTCAGAAGGCACTTCCAATTATCAAAGAAACTCCAATCCGCCAAATCTTCAACAAAGCACCAGTTCGACAACCGAGAGATAGCGGGAACAACGATGCATTCCAATGCGGACTACTAGTATGAAAATCATTGGAATAGAAGAAAAGAAAGGACGATGGAAAAGAAACAGGACTCATGAGAAGCACAAAAATGTGCAGAAATCTGAGGGAATAGTACTTGAAAAAGGAGTGCAAGAGAGAGCATGAGAGATAAAGTGAGAGCAGAGATCGTTGAGAATTGATGATACAGTGTGTGTTATGTTGCAGGGTTCATGAAAGACCGAAAAATAGCTTTACTTTCACATTGTAGCAGAGATTGAGAGTGAAGAAAAAGTAGCATCTACAAGAATGGCTGTAACTGATAAAACTTTCCATTTCATAAATGTTTTTAGCTGAAATCGAATGATCGATGATATCAGTCAATTAGGCGGAATTCTTCAGATTTCTTCGCATTTTAAGAAAAAGACAAAATCAGTAGGAGAGAAAAGATAGTATTTGAAACAGTTGATCCTTCTCTCTCTTTTTTTTTTCGTCCTTTTCAGATAAACATATCAGTAATAATTGTCCGGAAAATTCCTGATAATTATTTAACGAAATATATTTGATGGAAAATTTCCCACTTATCATCTTGCTATTCAACCGAACCTATTTGATGGCAATAACATGTGTTTGATTACAACTTTACTATGTAAACTTTTAACAAAATCCTATCATTAAAGATCAGTGATATCATTCATTCATTCATTCATTCATTTCATTCATCAAATCACGCAATTGTTTTTAGTTATGATGCTTTCGTTTGATTTCATTGTTAACAACGCTTTTTTTGTTCTTCCTTTTAAATTAAATTTTCTTTAATTTATTTCGGGTAAATTTTTTTATATCGAATAGAAGTATGCATTTGCATTCGATGTGTTAATGTTTCCATCATAAATCGTTGTTCAAGCGTTTCACTATCCAGCAATCGAAATTCGCGAATTGTCTGTAAAATTGTTACACCTTTCTTTTTTCGATTCATAATGATATCATTCAATGTCATCTTTTATTTGGAAGCAATTATGTTAAATTCTTTGTCGCATCATTTCCTACTAGCAAGTCGATAAGATGTTGGCTGTTAAATTTGCATGAAGGCCTATTTAGTTAGCATCAAACTTTGATTAGACTATTAACTCTGTCTCTCTATCATTTTCGTACTACAGTAAGGGTCAAATTTTCTAATAATTGGATGAAAATTAAAGCAAAAAAATAATGTGAATAAATTCAAACCCCATGTACTGGTAGATCACGGCTAAAACTTATTCGGCCAATATCTTGTAAAATGAGTTTGATTGATTTGCCTTGTAATGGGCCTTGTTCAATCATTACAAAACCTAAAATTAATTAGTAAAATTAACAAAATTAAATTTATTATTTTTGTTTGCTATACAAAAGTATTTGATGTATGGAATCATTTTTGCTGCTGTTTTTTTCTGAAATATAATCGAAAACCGGATTTCGATGACAATATTTATTCAATTTACATACCATTGTTCATAACAGTTGACAGAGCGACTTCTTTTGTATCTGATTTCATTGTTAAAAAACCATATTCACTATGCAATTCCTCACGATTATTCATATCCCATGCAAAAGCTCTGAAATTAAATTTATTATTAAGAATGTCTGACATTTATAAGCTAACTTGATAAGCTTTTGATAAGTTTGATAAGCTCATGGCAGATTTATTCATTGAACACTTAGTAATTTGTTAGTTAAATGAGAAAGTTTACGTATAGTTGAGTGCTTTAAGAGCTTTTAAGCTGGTAGATGGCAATGAAAATTCAATTTCTTCCCCATATGTAAATATAGGTATTGTTGGAAAGATTGCTTTACCACCAGATTCACCACGCCAAATTCCAATTAACCATGCTAATGGCTTTAGTAATTCTGGTACATAGCGTACATCATATTCTAAAATATTGAAATATATATAAGAATAAGCTTTAAAAATAATTTTTACAGAGTAAACCTTCCTTAAGTTTCATATATCATTCTATATTTTGATTCGCTTGTGTATTTTATGTTCAGCAAAACTGTAAATAGAAATTAATGTAGAATGAATTATCAAATTTATAACAAAAGAATTGATAAATTGATAAAAAAATTTTTGTTTATAGATGGAAATTATTATTATTATATGCTAATATGTAATTAAAGTAAATAATTAATTTAAAAAGATTATATTCAAATGAATGCTAACTTTTCTCGATTTCACCACATACCATACATGTCATAAAACAATTTTTCTTGGCAAATGCTGATTTCAAGCATTGGCTTCCATCTTGTGCAATTAGTTCAAAACAATTTCGATTTAAATCTTTGCATCCATCTACTACAAATACACACTATTTTATGCATGCTTTATAATTTTATACTTTAAAAAATTCAATAAAATGGTTTTTAAAATTTTAAATAATTTTTTTTTTTTATCCAACTTAAAATTAAAATTTGCACATAAAAATCTTATGTGATAAAATTTTCTGCAATGTTGAAAATAAAAGCAACAAATCAAATGGAAAAAGAAATGAAGGAAATTGTGGGTGAATGAAGTAAAAAGAACTGGAAAAAAACTTCTTGAAAAAGATTTTGTCTTTAAAAAAAAATATTCGGCAAAATTTTTTGTTCTAAAAACTTATGAAAGAAAAATGAAAATCATTTTTGCAGGTAGAATAAATTCTAATAAAGAAATATCAGCTTTTAACATTTACAACATCGTTGGAATATAACACTTCCTCTTTTTTTTTTGCACAGGTACGAGAACATACTTATTATATTAATAGGTCACGCAAAGGTATGGATAATAACAATAATGGGAATGACAGATTTGTCAACGTAATGAAGTGCATTTTGAAATTTTTGAAGCAATACTTATTACATACATTTCATCTATTCATGTTACCAATAATTAATTCATCATTTATGATTTATTATTATGTCATTCAAATTTTGTCACATATAATGTTTAAAATTTACGAATCATAAAATTGATGAGCTAATTATGTTTCATCTAAATTAATTAAGTTCTCGCTCAAATAAATCAAATTTTTATTTAGAATAGATTTGTCAAAGAACAATTTAATTTATTTAACAAATCTAAAACCGCCTACAGATCTGTCATCAAAAACGAATGATATAGGATAATTTAGAAGTTTACCGTTAAAATTAGGTATGAAACTGAAAATATGGCGCAATTTGTTTTGCGCTAAAATAACTTTTCATCATCTTAATATGGTATCTTATGAATTTTTCAAATGATCTTTTATCATTGAAAAGATCGGAAAAATACAACTAGAATGAATTTCCAAAGTGTAATTTTAATATTAAACATTAGAATGCGATAAAATTAATAATTAAATAATTTAAATTTAAATTATTTAAAAATTTATTTCAATAAAAAAAAAACAAAAACAAAAAAAATAAATTAATTAAATAAAATATATTGCTATTTGTTTTTTTTTTTTCAACAACATTGAAAATATTAAACAAACCTGGATTCTTTGTTTTAGCACCAATTATCAGTATCAAAATACCAATTGTAAATAAGCAGTTGTAAAATAGCATCGTATTTTTGTATTCATAAATATCGATGATATCCAAAAATAAACAAAAGAAAAATTTTGAAATTTGACAAGTTTTTTCTTTTGTATTTTAAAATTGACGTAATTAAATTAAAACAATGATAAAAGAAAGAATTGTGATAAAATGATTAAAATGAACAAATATTTTTCAGTACTGCAAAAGTTATCCTTTTTTTTTCATTCATTTTTATTGTATTCTAAAATTAATCGAATTAAGAAATTATTTGAGAAGAGACGCGGTACGATCGATAACTGATGATTTATTCTTCTTCAAGTATTATCGAATGATATTGATCAATGAATGTATTACTTAAGAAAAGTGATAATTCATTATGACGCCATACAGAAGAAAACTAAAAATACCTGTTTGAAAAAGATAAAGAGAAAGAGAGAGAGCGATAAAAAAAGTGAGTCATTTTTAAAATGTTAAAGAAATAAGAATTTCTTCAATACATTCCAAGAAAACAGTAAAAGAACTAATTATTAGTAGAAAATATAAAATGAAATTATTTAAGTATAATATTATTATTATATGAATTATATATGTATTTAAGTATTATACAAATTATACGTATTTCAATATTATACATATACAGTTTCATTTTATATTTTATGCTAATAATTGAGTATTCTTTTTAGTTCGATAGAAATATAATACTTAATTACAAATAATATTTCTTCAATTATAAGAAATGATTCTAAGCTTCTTTTCAATTAAAAATTATGCTAACTTATTTCTACCTCAATTATTTTGACATTTTTACCCCTATCATATCATACGTTCAATGATTTTTTTCCCAACAGATAGTAATCCGATAAATGACAGAATCATATGCGATCATTTGTTTTACACAATCGCAACACTTCAATATTATTCCTGATATTCTTATAATTGAAACTAACAGTATTAATAAAGCTGTTAAAGCAAAACAACGGATTTAAATTATTTTACAATTATTTACTGGATTTCACTATTTAATGCTTCTTCATTCATGCAATATAATATAGCATGTAATGAATGCTTGCATAAATAATGCATGCAAAAAAAGCAAACATATATTGCAAATGCAGAACATATAATATCAATCATTTCAATAACTGATAACATGCATCATTCCTATTATATTTTTTACCAATAAATTTTGATGAAATTACGCAAATAGTGAAATTTTTTCAACAAAAAGAAAAAATTAAGGCATACCGGAATTGCTATAGTAATTTCAATAATGAAATGTGCAAATAAGAAATGTGTTGTCTTTCCTAAATTTTAATTTTGTATTAAAAGACCTGTTTTGTTTCCGTCTGATTCTTTTATCTTTTCATATTTACAAGCTATCATTTTTAGTTAAATTTCTCGAGATTACACCGATTCTATTATTGACAGTTCTCGAGAGTTATTATGAAATAAAAGAAATACTATACGAAAGAAATGAGAATAGTATAGCAAATAAAATTAGGTTAAAAAATTATGATATCAGGTTTGAAATATTTTATTAATGTGTGCAACATTGATTCAGTTCAGACATTTCGAAATTCTTGTTAATTTCTTATAATTATGCAATCTTTCAGTAAAATTTCATAAAATAGAAATTGTAAATGTTAGCTGATTTTACAATTTAACCTTTGACCTTTTCAATTTGCAAAATTTTACAAACAACTGCTTAATTCATTAAAATAACGAGTAAATTTTCAACATTTACACTAATACGATTTAACAAAATATTTAAATAATCGATATAAACTTGATTTCTTTGAAGATCTCATTAATTAATCTATAGGGTTCGTTTAAAAAAAAAAAATTTCTTAAATTTCAAAATTTGAAATAATAGTAATTGAAATGAAATTATTAATTAAAATGTTCCAAACAGTGAAAGTAAAATTTAACGAGAATGGCAATGATCGTTGTAAAATAATGCAAAATTTATTAGTTTTGTTTGTGAATTGAAGAGAATGACTGACTTCAAACAAGTTTTATATACTACCTTTACAGCGCTAAACTTTTTTCTGGTATAGTTGTTTCGGTTGCTAATGACGACATCTTAATAAAGGGTATCATTCGTAATATTAAATACTCCGGAATAGCAAAACATCAAGCAAGCACTTTAATTATTGCCAATTGTTTTGATTAAAATAATTTATCTCAAATGATGTAACCAAATTTATCGCTGGTTATTTGTCACTATTATTAATAATTATCATGGTTAATTATCACCATTATTGTTATTATTGTTATCATTGTTAATATGATTACTTATTATTATCTATTATTATTGTCATAATTAGAATGAAGGATCTCTGGTTGGAACATTAGATGTTTCAGGAAAAGATGAAGGGAAGAAAGACTGGATATAAGAAGAAGAGGAGGAAGTGGAAGAGGAAAAGATGAATGAAAGAAGGATTGGAATGTTATCAATGTGAAGGAAAAACAAAAACTGGAAAGGAAAGAAAAGTGACAACAAAAATGCAAAAAAATATACATTTACAGCACTTCACATTTTCACTTCACATGTTGATAGTACAATAATGTATCGGATCCGATTCCTATCATCCTGAATGAATCACTTAAATATGATGCTAAATATTCAGCGGAATTGAAATTGTTGAAATATTGTTGGTAAAAAATAAAAGAAAAGAGGATAAAAGTAAATAAAACTAAGGTCAGATGTGAGATTATAAGGCTTTAAAGCTGGATTAGAAGATTCGAGTTTAATCGTATCTGTAAATTAAATATAAACAAAGAAAGAAAACAATACTCTTGATTATTTAAATGAAGGGAAAAATTCATTGATCTAATTGGAACATTTTTTTTTTGCTTCTTCTGAATACTTAATAATCTAGCATTGATGATAACAATTAGCAATATTTATGCTTTCTGATTTGTAACATTACTTATGCTTCATCCCGGATAACATCATCCATTAAATTTTCTATGGCCCGAATTATAGTAGAAAATGTTTATGGATTATGATGATATGTTTGATGAAGTATTAATCAACATAATAACGTAAAATTTGGAGATAGATAGAATATGAAATAGAATTTAACACTGATAAAGTTTAATCGCTCTTTATTTCTCAAATCACTCTATAACAATCATTTTACTTGTAACTTTATTATTTAACTAAGAAGTTCTCAAGTTTTGCACATATAAGATTCAGAAACTCAAAAGTGTTTAAGTAATTGAAATTGTTGTTTAAATAAATTGAAATTGTTGAAGATAATGAAAATAAAAGATCTATGAAGCACTTAAGAATGTAATCAAAGATTATACCAGAAGTTGAAAATTCTGCAATCTAAAATTCTAAAATAATGAGGCGCAGAAATCAAGTTATTTATTTCTCAAAGAATTGAAATTATTGCAGAGCTGGAAGGAGTTGCAAATTTTAACCTATTTTTTCCGTTTAAATTTCATATTTGATGTATTTTCAATTTGACATAACTGTCTATGTCGTTATTTCACTTCCACGTGACGTAAAACGCCCTTCCACCTTATCCGTTAAAAATTTCACGTGAGGCAAGAAATCAAAAACATCGTTGAAACGGGAAGTTTTCATACGAGGAAGCATTGTTAGGAGAGAGCGGCTCGAAGACGTTGGCTTAATCTCGAGGTGGGATGGAGGGGAGGTATTTTATTGTTTGTGTGCATTTCGTTTTGGTTGTTGCACTAAACGAAGGCTGTTTTGATTAGGTATAATAATTCGGAAAATTGGAATTATCATCCTGAACAGAAAGAACCTATCATCGTGCGTCAATATATGTGAATTATTCGGACGTTTCGTGTTTTATTCAACAAGTATTTATTAGTGGTTCACATAATTGGTAGTTACTCTGGAGGTATGAATTTTTGACAATTTAAGCAAACTTAAATATGTTCAAGAGTTTATATGAAAGTTACAGATGTAACAGTATTTAATTCAAAATTCAACATTTTTCATCAGTTTGTGTCAATGTTACCAATTAATGTTTCTTGGTGAAAGTGTAGTATTCATTGGTACGATTTAAATAACATTACTAAATTTAAATTAATCAAATGGAGAAAAAATTTGGGAATTTAAAAGTTATTGATGTATTATATATCCATCTTAGAGCAACATAGCAACGCATGAAGGATCAAATGATTGAGATAAAATGATATAATATGATAATTGCTGAGTAATTTATTGCCGAATTATATATATATATATATATATAAATGGTAATTGCTGAATAATTTATTACCGAATTTTTTTTGTCTTCCAGAAGTACAGGTTAGATGGAGGCAAATCGAGCAGAAGCGCAGCGTTGTGTAGATATAGCACGTAATGCACTACGAGGAAAAGATAACGCAAAAGCCGTTAAATTTTTGCATAAAGCTACGAAGTTAGATCCTACGATGGATGTGGAATGTTAGTTAAAAAATATAAAAATTTTTAGAAAACTTTATTACTGTTTTTATCTGCATGGCAGTATATAAGATGAAGAAAGAGATTCTCGAAAAATGGAATGACGCATTTTGAGATATATCTCATAGAGCCATATACTGTGGTGGCCCTCTCCAGGGCGTTTGCTTATGATGACTTTTCTTTTACTTGACTTCATTTCTAGTTCCTACTCTTTTTCAAGTGTTACTGTGATTGGATTCCTTCAGGACCGACATCAAAAGGCAGTCCAGTTAGAAGAAAGTTTTAGTTCCTATTTGAACTGAGCAATCTGTTATCCTTGCAGTCTTTATTTCATCCAAGTTTTAATAATTTTTGCTCTGATACATGGACTGTGAATCTCTTAAGAATCTATAGATAGCTTAGTTCAAGAAGAGTGCCGAAATTGAAATATATCGAATTGTGTGGATATGAATAAAATAATCATATGGTAAATATTAATGGACTCTAAAATTGTTTATGGTATACAGATTTATTAAAAAAAGCGCAAACACTAAATGGCGATAATGACGAAGGTGATTATCATTCAACAGGAACAGATGCCGGTTATGGACATTACGATCAGTATGAAACAGACTCGGATATTCGAAGTCGCCGGACGCAGTTTCATACTGACCGTAATCAGTCAGCCATGAATGGTAAAGGAGGTTGCCCAGACGGAGGTATAATCCTTTGCTTTCTCTGAAAATATGTTTGGAATCAGTGATTTCAAGACAACAATTGGTACGCTAATGTAAGACGTGAAAAAGACGTACACGCTGGATGCAATGAGCTAGTGGATATTCCTGTGGTAATTAAATTGTGATCAAAGTTAGAGTTTCATATAATAAAAGAAACAGATGAATTTTTTTCTCATATTTTAGCTGATGAAGGTTCATCGTCAAGTACTACTGAGGCAAAACAGAGGGGCTCACGTTCACGTTCATCAGCTCGCCCAAAGCTTGGTGTTCATTATACGAAAGAAGAGTTAGACATTGTTGAAAGGTATGTGAACTTCATTCAAAATGTGTTTGGAATGTCTGGCGATTTTAAATTCTTTATAGATAATAGACCAAGTTGCAAGCAATAAATTAAGGAGGAGTTTCGGGTTGGTAACTTGGCATATGGCATTTCATAGTGCATGAATATTGTGTTTATGAAATATCTTTAAAACTTTGCTTTAGAATACGGCATTGCAAAGATTATTATGAAATACTGAATCTCAAGAAGAATGCAAATGAATCAGATCTGAAAAGGGAATATCGTAAGCTGGCATTGCAACTTCATCCCGACAAGTGTCGAGCACCTGGCGCTACTGAGGCGTTCAAAGGTAGTCTTTATCTGCAACTAATGGGCTTTCGGATTCATAATCGAATTTACGTGAAGGTTTCACAGCATTTTCATCGAAAACATTAGTGATACATATTTTCGAAACAGTGATACTTTTATTGAATTATTATTTATGAAATACTTCGTTTTATATCGTGCTATGATCCGTAAAGCCCTTTATAGTTTCAAACGTTTGTTGTTAATTCTGAAAGCTTATTGTAGCGCTTGGCAATGCTTATGCGGTTCTTTCCAATAAAGATAAGCGTGCTCAGTATGATCTCTACGGTGCTGAAGGACTCCGAAGACGGGCTAATCAACATGACGATGAATTTAGCGAATACGATTATAGCGGAGGTTTTGAAGGTTTGTCGCTAAATTTCTTCACATCAAATGAAAAGCAAAAAACGATATAAAACGTTTTGCTATCTATATTTAAGATGTTGAATATGTATGTGCTCTCTTGAGAAATTCATTGCTGTGTGTTGATTTAACACATGTCATTTTTCGTCGCGATGATACACGTAGTATACTACACGAATGCGTCTGTAGAGTAATGATAATTTAATTTACAGCGGAATTTACTCCGGAAGAGATTTTCAACATGTTCTTTGGTGGTGGTTATCCAGCAGGCCATTTAAATAGACGGCAGCGTGGGGCACAGTATCACTTCCATCAACAACATTCAGCACAACAAGACCAGGTTTTTGTTCTTTAATGATTTTGTTAACAAACTTATGATTCATATTTTTTAATTGTATCGTACGTCATATTGATACATTTTAAAATGGACTATTTTCAGTCACCGTATGCACCCATTTTGCAACTTTTACCACTTTTTGCCGTACTTTTCCTTGGTTTGATTGCTCAACTAATGGTAGGCGACCCAGCATTTTCATTGCACCGTACTGGGTAAGTTTCTTCTTCTGTGTTTTTTGAAACTCCTGATTTCATTTCAATTTTTCGAAATTCGGTTTGAAGTTAAATTAAAATATAAAGGTATACTGAAATGTAGAAAAAAAGGAATAGTTACTTAAACTGCATTGTTTTTTTTTTGTATGGAATAAAATTTTCGCATTTCAGCAAATATACGGAAGAACGTTTTACGAGGGATCTTCAAGTGCCATATTACGTTAAAACTGATTTCCTAACCAATTATCGGAGTAAGATAGCTCCAATTGAGCATCAGGTTGAAGACGAGTATGTTTCTCATCTGCGCATGAAATGCTACAGGGAAAGAAATGAGAGTGAGTTTGGCGTTATTCTCAAGTATAGCAGATATAGTAGATAAAGTTTTAAAAGGAATCGCATGCACCCCGTCGGTCATTTTTTTTGTGACATTATTTGTGACACCTGCTACACCATCAGTCATTTCGTTGATTTTTATTTTTGAATTATCGGTTGCTTAAGGAGAGACTGCCTTATGGAGAGCACGTACCTTCGGTGATGCCGATCTGTGGAACCGAGCGCAGCGTATGGGAACACCAAGTTGTGACAGGCTACAAGAAATATATAGTTAAAGAATGGTTTTTCAAGCATTACGGAAATTTTGTTGTTGCGCAGTGTTAGGGAAGCATTGTTCAGAGTAAGTCTACTCGCAGTCATCAATAAAACAAGAAGATCAGGAATTCTGAGGGGTTCATCTTATTTAAGGTTCATCTTATTATGCAGAACGAGATTCGAAAGAATGTGCGGGGTTCCAACCGACATAAAATTGAATTTTCGCTATGTTTGAGATAGTGCATTCAGAAACAGAAAACCGTGTGGTATTTATTTTCGAGTGTTTCGCAATTATTTCATCCTGAAAATTAAATGTTTGTCCTGTGGTCTTTGAATTTCTCATTATTTTCATTAATACCCCCTTTAATTATAAAAAAACAAGTCTATTCATTGGTAACGTTGTCTTCCGATTATATGTATTTTCAAATTCTTTCACATTTCTGAGTCGGCGTATTTCATATTTGGATTTTTCCATTTTAAAGAAAGAAAGAAGGAAAGTAGAAATGACTGGGGTATATAGGTGCTTTTCAGGTTCTAAATGATAATTCCGAGTGCATAAAACTGTAACCTAAATATTTTGAAAAATTGTTGTTCACCTCGTTCATTTTTCTGTTCTGTTCCTTAGTCTGAATGATCGGTCCATCTTTTTCTGTCATTATTCTGTTGCAGCTTTTTACAGTGCGAGGTTTTTCTTTAATTTAATTATAGAACAGTTGTTTACTTCATGCCTCAATTTCCCTTCTCATATTTGTAAATCGAACTCAAGTACCAAGTAAGGCACCTCTTTAAAGTAACTTTGTTAACCAAAAAGTTAAGGAAAATAGATTTGAAAATTTTGATTCAAAAGAAAAAATAGACCAGAGCTTGTTTTTGATTTAGAGAGGAACATAACTGTAAAACCACGATTAACCGTTCTTCAGTTTGAAGTTTGATTGTGCTTTAAAGGGAATACTTGACTTCTTTTCCTTTTTGATGTAGCTGTGAATTTGAAATTACATACTGGAATGTAAACCTCAAAGCGGCGTACACTTCGTACTTAGATTTTTTTATCAATTTATTTGAACTGGTCGAAGTCGCTGAATATGTCTGTGATATACTCTTGTTTCAGTTTATTACTAGGAATCACTCTTGGCTGCTTCGAATAAAACTTGTTTATCTTTCAAGTATTACATGTTCGCAAATTAATTGGTGATTCCATTTAACAACTGCAATACCATAATGTGGAAAATCGAGGGCATGAAAGGGAGTGGTTGACAAGAGGGGAAAGATATTGATATCAACACCTACGAAATCTATTAGTGGCTGTGTTGAAAATATGCTCGAGATTTTTTGGAATTTTTTGCCTCTCAGGGACAGTTTTCGCATAGCCCCAAGCAGGTATAGGATTTCATTTGGTTTCGGTAGATTTGTTGTATATACTCTATTCTGTGTTTGACGATAGGACAACAGTGTATTAGTATTAATACTCTATCACTTGCTCAATCTTTTTTTCACAGGGATGGAGCTATATTGGAGTTCCATAGAGGGAGATGTCGGACATTATCTATAAATGCAGACAAATAGGGTATTTAAAGTAGGTAATGAATAGAGAATACTGGGGGGAAGTTCGGATAAATGGACAGTGTTCCAATCGGTGCGAGGTTTTTTTCAATAACTTAACGAAAGGTTTCGCGTTTTTTACAGAGAGGTTTTTTACAGAGGTTGGAAGAACATGAAAATTAATTCGATTATTTTCGAGTAACGTAATGACATGCATTTCAATCAAAAAAGGATCAGAGACGATACGCGAATAGGATGAACTTCGCCAACACTAAGCGAAATATTATATTCCAAGATGCCACTTTCTCAACTAATTTTCCACATATAATTTACGAAGTGTGAAATTAGCTAACAACATCTTTCTCTTGCCTCATTTCAGGCGAAAACTTAGGGCCAGTCCTGTTTAAACTCATATTCCCGTCAATACATTTCATCATTAACTCCAAATATCGTGATTTTCAGTCCGATAGTTTGGAAGTTGTTGATTCGCGAACAGGAGTACGTGATGTCTCAAAATGTCCTTTTTGTTGAAGTTTTGACCTCAAAAAACTATTCCCGAAAATGATTTGCATTTGCACAACACGTGTGATCCAAGAAACTTCAGTCAAGAACGCAATGTCACCTCTTAATCGTCTAGGATTATCTAATCCAAAATAACGATAGGCCTATTAGCAACTGGTATAAAAAATCGTCCGACGTCACACAACATAATCATGATCCTCTTCGATCTTATTTAATAATTGAAGATCAGCTACTGGCACATTCTAGAGCATTTACATTCCGGTTGTACCTAACAAAATACTTTTATCAGTTAATAACATATAACATGATCAACAAATAACAACGCATCATATCAGTTAAAATAACAGAATACTTTACCCCAGCACAAAGTAGAAAAAGATTACCCTACGAAATATATAGAAAGCGCTGAACAAACACATAACCAAAATAAAGAATAATTCTGCTTAAAAAGACAATGAATTTTGATTAAAACGTATAATCACCCAAAGCAATAACAGCACAGATAAAATCGCACAAATTCGATTAATTAAAGATTCTGGGGATAAGCTCAGAATATATATATATAAAACCCACTTTAGACAACTAAACTATTTCACACAATATGCTGAACACCTATAAAGTAACTACTTCGAAGGATTAAAACTAAAGAAATACTTTTCAAAGGGCGACGACAACAGCGCAGATACAATTGAAGATTAAACTACATTAGTAAAAATGAATAAATGAAAAACGTTGGGAATAAAATTAGTATTTACAGATCTTATGGTTCCATCAAATTTATGACACCAATTAAAACAGTAAGTCATTATTAATCATTTTCAACTCACTAATATATATATATATATATTCATTAGTTAGCATTCTGCTTGTTTATCAAGTTTAAATTTTAA